AAGCGCCGCTATATTTATATAAAATTCTGTATTGTTAAATATTATAATAAAACAACTATACAAAAAAATATATATTTAATTGGAAAAAAATATATATACATTCAATATAACCCATTTATAGGTAGTCGGTGGGAGATGTCAGCAGCAGAAAGGGTACTCGCTGGTCGTTGCAGCTTCATTAATCATATATGATCGTGCGAACGAGACAAACATAATGTGTAATATAGGCCCCTCTCGCTCTTTGTTTCGCAGATCGTGCGAACGAGATACAAATTGTTTTCGCTATAGGAGTAAGCGAGAGGCATGCCTAGTGTGCGTTCCCCTCTTTTGGGGACCGTTACTTTAGGACAATTAATTCTGCAGGGCAGCTGCTTGCTGCAGTTTCTGCGCGCCTGGTACTCAGATCTGGGGACGGGGGAATTTAGGGGGGGAATCGGGCATACATTTTGCTGTCATTGTTGTTGTTGTCTACCAGGCGCATACCAGGCGATCAGAATCAGCAGCAAGGCGCCCAGCAGCAAGTAAATTTTTGTGAGCTATGCTTGTATTGGTGCGCTCTTCATTTATGTTCTCTATATGTATTTGTGTATCATTCGCTTATTGTGCGAACGAGACACAAGTAGTTTTCGCTATAGGAGTAAGCGAGAGGCATGCCTAGTGTGCGTTCCCCTCTTTTGGGAACAGTTACTTTAGAACAATTAATTCAGGCGGGCAGCTGCTTGCTGCAGTTTCTGCGCGCCTGGTACTCAGATCTGGGGACGGGGGAATTTAGGGGGGGAATCGGGCATACATTTTGCTGTCATTGTTGTTGTTGTCTACCAGGCGCATACCAGGAGATCAGAATCAGCAGCAAGGCGCCCAGCAGCAAGTAGGTTTTTGTGAGCTATGCCTTGTATTGGTGCGAGACAGAAATAGTTTTCGCTATAGGAGTAAGTGGGAGGCGAACATAGTGTGAGCTCCCTATGTTTTTTAGGGCATATTAGTTCAGCAGGGCAGCTGAATGTAAAATTACTATTAAGCGCCGCTATATTTATATAAAATTCTGTATTGTTAAATATTATAATAAAACAACTATACAAAAAAATATATATTTAATTGGGAAAAAATATATATACATTCAATATAACCCATTTATAAGTAGTCGGTGGGAGATGTCAGCAGCAGAAAGGGTACTCGCTGGTCGTTGCAGCTTCATTAATCATGTATGATCGTGCGAACGAGACAAACATAATGTGTAATATAGGCCCCTCTCGCTCTTTGTTTCGCAGATCGTGCGAACGACATACAAATAGTTTTCGCTATAGGAGTAAGCGAGAGGCATGCCTAGTGTGCGTTCCCCTCTTTTTAGAACAATTAATTTGTATAAACTGTTATACTTTATATTATACATATATACCAATTTCCTGTCGACAACAACCACTTGAGTGCAACAACAACCCCTTTACAACAACGTCTCTACAGCAACCCATCCAAATTTCCGAAAATTTCCATGCAAATTGCCCGTTTCCCAAATTGGGGTAACAGGCGAACAGAAATCAGCAGCAAGCAACTGAAAACTGTTATAAAAACTCCAAGTTTCGAACCTTCTGGGAGCAAGCGTAAGCTAGCGAAGACTCAAACCTTTTGAATTCGTGCGAACGAGATACAAATAGTTTTCGCAATAGGAGTAAGTGAGAGGCGAACATAATGTGAGCTCCCTATGTTCGCTCTTTGTTTCGCAGATCGTGCGAACGAGATACAAATAGTTTTCGCTATTGGAGTAAGCGAGAGGCATGCCTAGTGTGCGTTCCCCTCTTTTGGGAACCGTTACTTTAGAACAATTAATTTGTATAAACTGTTATACTTTATATTATACATATATACCAATTTCCTGTCGACAACAACCACTTGAGTGCAACAACAACCCCTTTACAACAACGTCTCTACAGCAACCCATCCAAATTTCCGAAAATTTCCATGCAAATTGCCCGTTTCCCAAATTGGGGTAACAGGCGAACAGAAATCAGCAGCAAGCAACTGAAAACTGTTATAAAAACTCCAAGTTTCGAACCTTCTGGGAGCAAGCGTAAGCTAGCGGAGACTCAAACCTTTTGAATTCGTGCGAACGAGATACAAATAGTTTTCGCAATAGGAGTAAGTGAGAGGCGAACATAATGTGAGCTCCCTATGCTCGCTCTTTGTTTCGCAAATCGTGCGAACGAGATACAAATAGTTTTCGCTATAGGAGTAAGCGAGAGGCATGCCTCGTGTGCGTTCCCCTCTTTTGGGAACCGTTACTTTAGGACACTTAATTCTGGCGGGCAGCTGCTTGCTGCAGTTTCTGCGCGCCTGGTACTCAGATCTGGGGACGGGGGAATTTAGGGGGGGAATCGGGCATACATTTTGCTGTCATTGTTGTTGTTGTCTACCAGGCGCATACCAGGCGAACAGAATCAGCAGCAAGGCGCCCAGCAGCAAGTAAATTTTTCTGAGCTATGCTTGTATTGGTGCGCTCTTCATTTATGTTCTCTATATGTATTTGTGTATCATTCGCTTATCGTGCGAACGAGACACAAGTAGTTTTCGCTATAGGAGTAAGTGAGAGGCGAAAATAGTGTGAGTTCTCTTTGTTTTTTAGGGCATATTAGTTCAGCAGGGCAGCTGAATGTAAAATTACTATTAAGCGCCGCTATATTTATATAAAATTCTGTATTGTTAAATATTATAATAAAACAACTATACAAAAAAATATATATTTAATTGGGAAAAAATATATATACATTCAATATAACCCATTTATAAGTAGTCGGTGGGAGATGTCAGCAGCAGAAAGGGTACTCGCTGGTCGTTGCAGCTTCATTAATCATGTATGATCGTGCGAACGAGACAAACATAATGTGTAATATAGGCCCCTCTCGCTCTTTGTTTCGCAGATCGTGCGAACGACATACAAATAGTTTTCGCTATAGGAGTAAGCGAGAGGCATGCCTAGTGTGCGTTCCCCTCTCTTTAGAACAATTAATTTGTTTAAACTGTTATACTTTATATTATACATATATACCAATTTCCTGTCGACAACAACCACTTAAGTGCAACAACAACCCCTTTACAACAACATCTCTACAGCAACCCATCCAAATTTCCGAAAATTTCCATGCAAAGTGCCCGTTTCCCAAATTGGGGTAACAGGCGAACAGAAATCAGCAGCAAGCAACTGAAAACTGTTATAAAAACTCCAAGTTTCGAACCTTCTGGGAGCAAGCGTAAGCTAGCGGAGACTCAAACCTTTTGAATTCGTGCGAACGAGATACAAATAGTTTTCGCAATAGGAGTAAGTGAGAGGCGAACATAATGTGAGCTCCCTATGTTCGCTCTTTGTTTCGCAGATCGTGCGAACGAGATACAAATAGTTTTCGCTATAGGAGTAAGCGAGAGGCATGCCTAGTGTGCGTTCCCCTCTTTTGGGAACCGTTACTTTAGAACAATTAATTCAGGCGGGCAGCTGCTTGCTGAAGTTTCTGCGCGCCTGGTACTCAGATCTGGGGACGGGGGAATTTAGGGGGGGAATCGGGCATACTTTTTGCTGTCATTGTTGTTGTTGTCTACCAGGCGCATACCAGGCGATCAGAATCAGCAGCAAGGCGCCCAGCAGCAAGTAGATTTTTGTGAGCTATGCTTGTATTGGTGCGAGACACAAATAGTTTTCGCTATAGGAGTAAGTGGGAGGCGAACATAGTGTGAGCTCCCTATGTTTTTTAGGGCATATTAGTTCAGCAGGGCAGCTGAATGTAAAATTAATATTAAGCGCCGCTATATTTATATAAAATTCTGTATTGTTAAATATTATAATAAAACAACTATACAAAAAAATATATATTTAATTGGGAAAAAATATATATACATTCAAGATAACTTATTTATAAATAATCGGTGGGAGATGTCATCAGCAGAAAGGGCACTCGCTGGTCGTTGCAGCTTCATTAATCATGTATGATTGTGCGAACGAGACAAACATAATGTGTAATATAGGCCCCTCTCGCTCTTGTTTCACAGATCGTGCGAACGAGATACAAATAGTTTTCGCTATAGGAGTAAGCGAGAGGCATGCCTCGTGTGCGTTCCCCTCTTTTGGGAACCGTTACTTTAGGACACTTAATTCTGGCGGGCAGCTGCTTGCTGCAGTTTCTGCGCGCCTGGTACTCAGATCTGGGGACGGGGGAATTTAGGGGGGGAATCGGGCATACATTTTGCCTGTCATTGTTGTTGTTGTTTATCAAAATTAGGGCTGGCCACACAAATGTAATAAACTCATCGTTTCTTCGTTTCTGATTACCAGGCGAACAGAATCATCAGCAAGGCGCATGAACTATGATATATAATTGTTTTAATCGATTTTAAAATGTTTAAATGGAATCCAAATCAAATGATTAAATCGCAAGGGATCAAGGAATCAATGCATAAATAAACTTGGCTAGAACCCTGTCTGGCTTATAATTATGTATAATATTTATTTATATATTTTGTTATACATTTTTTATATATTTATTTATATTTTTATTTCTATATTTATTATAAATTTATATTTATTTATATTTATATAAATATAATTTAAACCAAGATTTTCAAAGAAAGAAAGAGAAAGTAAGTCTGCATATATATTTTTTGTATTTTTAGGGAGTTGCCACAACAGATGCTGAAGTTAACTTGGCTTAACGACTGATCTACCTTGACTCTGATCAACATTAATCATTTCTTAGCTTTCCCACTCGCATCCCAATCGTCTCGTGTCTCTGCTTTATCAGTTTAAGAAATAATTTAAAATTTCTAGCCAAAATTAGAGCAGGATGTTGCCGCTTCGATCGCCATTAGACCAAATATGGGCACCGACCTATAAGCAGATACACACACAGCACACAGCACACACATCATTGAGTCGCTTCATTTCCGTTTGCCATTGAAAAGTGTTTTTCTTATTTCGTTTTTATTATTTCTTTTCTGTGTTTTTGCTTTTTTTATTTTCTCATTGTTAGACAATCAAACAAATTAGACGCTATATGCCGTAAATGGGCCTTTAATAATAAAACTAGCGATAGATAAAAAAAAATATACGAAAAGTTTGAAGAGTTCGCAGACAGACAGACAGAGAGATGGGAAAGATGGTAGCCAAAAGGGGAATTATTATCGGATCGCTGGCATCGGAGAACGGAAAACACCATTACGTATACGTATAGGAATTACGTATACGGCGAAGTAGAGTGGATTAAATGGGTAGAACTCGCGGGTGGTCGTCAGGAGGCGGGGTGGAAGGGGGCCCGGACATCGCATCTGGGCATGTCTACCTGGCCGGAACGCGTTGTCGTCGTCGTCGTCGTCGTCGTCATCGTCATCATCGTCGCATGGCATGGCATCAAGTCTGGAGCGGATCTATGACCTCGGCGGCTTAATTAGCTTGCTGGTGGGCGGCGGCAGCTTGCAGAAGCCAGCCGCATCGAACACGGGCAGCAGCTCCCGCACCCGTCCGGGTATCGAGCCATCGAGCATTCTGGAAAGCGATTGGGTTTACTCACTGGAGCCGGGAGTGGGGGAGTTGGAATCTTTACCTGCGCTTGTAGTCAATCTTGGCACCCTTCAGCGAGATGTTGGCGTCAGTGGGAAAGAACGTGGCATCGTAGAAGTTGAGTCCGTTCTGGAGCAGCACATTGTACTCGTCCATGGAGGCCAGTGTAATCCGGATAACGGCCGGTGGCAGTTCCCTGCGCTCCGGACGCTCGGCCTTCTCGATGGCATCGCCCACCACGGAGCCCACGCTCTTGGAGGTGCCTGTCAGAGGGAAGCAAGTAAGGGATTTGGGGTAAAGCTTGGTTGGGGGAACATTTTGGGTCATGTTCTGGAGGGGAATTTAACCAGAGAAGTTTACTATTTCAGGCTATAAATATTCCTTTTCTTAGGGATATAGTTGGGGGACTTAAAGGGATTTTTAAGGAACTTTAAAGGGACTTTCAGAGAGTTTAAGGAAATTTCTATGATTTTAAAAGACTTCAAGATTCTTTTTAAAGTACTTTAAGGTAAGTTTTAAAGCGAATTTTTAAAGGCAATTTTCAAAGAGACTTAAAGAGATTTTAAGGCATTTTTTTAGGGTTTGAAAAGGTACTTAAAGGTACTTTAAAATACTTCCAGGTCATTTTTAATAGACTTTAACACAATTAAAGGGACCTTAAGAGACTTTTTAGGGACTTAAATTGACTTTAAGGGACTTTTAGATACTTTTTAAGAGACTTTAAATCAGTTTAAAGAGTATTCGTTAAATTGAAAGGTTTGATAAGGACTTCAAGGGTCTCTAAAGGACTAAGAATCACAAAAAAAAGTACATTTTGGGACAATTTCAATATGTTTTCAATGTTACCAATTTGGAGGGTACTTTACTTCGTAGCGCCGCCCTGCGCAGCGTCTGCGTCGGCGTATGGAGCAGCTGGATCTGCTCACCTTCGACCTTGTCAACCCCTGAACCGGTGCTGGCACCGACCGAGGCGGCGGAGGCGGCGGCGGCATTGCTGGCTAGGCTCGAATAAATATGCAGTCGCACCACCTCCACCACCGAGTCGAACTTGTACATGGCATGTCGGATATCCTCCACGGGCAGATCCTCCGGCACATCCAGCACGTACAGCGTGAAGGTCTTGCGCGGCCGGCACGGTATGGCGATCTGTGAAAGATCGAAACGGAAGGAGAAAGGAGAACGGAGAGTGGAGGCGTTGTTGGTGGTGGTGGTGGTGGTGGCTGCGCATTAGGTAATTAGTCTAAGCTAGGAGTCGTTCGATGGATGTGGATGTGGGTAACTGGGTCTAACGTGGGCACTGGGACTGGGCTAGGACTTAGCGCAGTCCCAATGCCCCAGGATACATGGTTACGGATACTCACGCTGCGCGAAAATGTTTGCTGCAAAATGGGGGAAATAAAGATTGCATTTTTCACTTGTCCAAGGGTTAGTCTTCAGATGTTTGGAACTGGGATGATGTGGTGGTGCGAAGGTGCGGCTGAAAACTAGTGGTAGATGGATGGCGGCGGGGGCGGCCAGTGATGGGTAGGGGTTCCAAGCAGGACTATGTCTTATTCTATTGATCTTGCTCCCCTGGTGGCCCCCACCCATCACTGTACATAGTCGAGAGTATATGTTGTAGGCTCACCTTGCGATAGAAACGCGCCCCGGTGACCTTGTGGAAGCCCTTCTTGAACACCGCCTGATAGTCATCTGGGTGTGAGAATTTAAACAGAATGCCTGTAGCGGTTTTGGTCAAGCTGAAGCATCCCTTGAAGCTCATCTTCTCGCAGATGAGGGCGGCCCGCTCCATGGACAGCTCGTAGGAGGGGGTCAGTAGGAAGGCGCCTGCAAGTAGTACACACGAGGCTTGGGTTAGGCTACATCAGGGTTAGTCTTACGGGGGATTAGCTTTAGATCATCATGCACTACAAGCGGATAGATGATGGATTATGGGAGCTAGTAGTGCTGCCAACAATTTCTGGGATTAATTTTAAAGAGGAAACTATAAGAAAATGATGGAAACTTATGCCTCAAAGAGTTATTAAAGTTTTAAAAATAAAATCAATGTTTTTTTTAGTACTTCCTAGATGATTTCGAGAAGATCTTGCTCATATGACAAAGTTAGCAGCACTAAAAAGCCCAGAGTAACCAAATCTATGGCTAAACCTTTGGTCAGAAAGTTATCCGGCGACGAGACCTCCGAGTCCGAGTCATCCTCCCGCTTATCGGCCCACTTGGGCTCCGAGGAGAGCTTGTGCGCGGCCACCTTGGTGACGATGCCCGTGGCCCGGGGCCTCGGGAACTCGTTCTTTTCGCACTCCAGGTCCGATGTGTTGCCCAGGAAAGACATGGTAGAGAGGTATCCTCGCTTGATTTACACGCACACAGAGAAAAAGAGTCACGGAAAAAAAATAGGAGAATTTGTTGGTTTTTTTGGGACGGTATTCGCAACAAGCTGCAACTTCGGCAGCGTTTTGGGCGATAATTTGGAAGCAACTGAAATGTCGCAGCGTCTGCCAAATGCTTTTATATGCTCCACTGGGCCCGGTTCGCATCGCATCTTTGGCTTCTAGGTTTGGGCAGACCAAACCAGCGAAATGAAAGTCCCACACATAGGTGCACAGACGAGGGCAATGAAATATGATACGAGCTTTAAGTGTGGGGAATTTTATTTAAATTAAGGAGTAAACTTGAATATAGGAAGCGAATTGAGGAGATGTAATTAAAATTTTAGATTTATTTGAAGTTTTTAGTGGTTTAATTATTTTATTTTTAAATTGGTTAAAATGAAATAATGGCATAGAACTTGTCTGTCCAACTAAACGTATACGCAATACGCATAGCTATTTCTTATAATATTAAGCATACGCAGTGTATAACTATTTATATTTTATATTTTATTTTATTATATTATTATATTATATTATTATATTATATTTTAATATACTTTAATATATTTTATTATATTTTTAATATATTTAAATATACTTTAAAATTGATTATTATATTTAAATATACTTCAAAATATGTTATTATATACTTTAATAAATTTGATTATATTTTTAAATATACTTTAAAAAATTTTAAAATTATTTTATATATTTTAAATATACTTTAATATGATTTAATACATTTTTTAATATAAATTCATCTTTTGATGGCATAAACCCTACTTATATACCCCCCACTGTGGGGGCACGGGTTATGCGATCATGTCGGATGTCTCTCAAATTGGAAGTTGGTTCGTACAATTAGACGACGACACATTATTGTTTGTTATTGATCCTCTCCCGGTGGAGTGGGCGACTCATGGCATCGCATGGGTTCCGTTGGGTTCTGGTGGTCGGTTCGGGTCGGGTCGGGCAGGTTGACGCCATCGCCACTGGGTTGATCTCGTCAAGATCATGCTGCGGCGGCGGCGGCGCCAACTGTTGCGTAAAATTCAAGAACACGGCTGTCCCCCCCAAAAATGGTGGCACATGCGAATTATATAACGCTATATAGGTGATCGCTAATGGGGCTCCAGCCTCAGCTGGCGGCAAAAGGAGCCCAAAGTGGTCCAAGGGTGGCCATAACCCCAGATTGGAGCACAAACCTTCAAGCTGTGCCCCGGAAACGGGCAAACTGACCCCGCTTAAAAGTAGAATCTGCCAGTCAGCTGGGCGTTTAGGTCATTCTGATACCTACTATGTATATGTGTTTGAAGAAAATATCGCCAAATTTGTTAATGAACTTGGTGCTTTTCACCCATTAAATAAATTAAAAAACAAGAAAGAAAGCTAACTTTGGCCAGCCAAAGTTTGTATACCCTTACAGGTAACAATTAAAATATATCATAACTAAGCCAAAAATGCATTAATTTTAAATCGAAAAACTGTTCTGTGTTAGTTTTTATGAGGTTAACAAATCTGCATACTTAGTTGGAAAAAAAAATTTTGGTCAAAAATTGAGAATTTTAATGATGTAACCCCTTATCACATTTCGCAAAAATGGCTCAAAATTTGATTTCCTCCAAACATGGCTTAAACGATTCGTATTTTAATGCTGATCAAGAATATATATGGTTTATGGGGTCGGAAATTATTCCTTCACCTTTTATATAAAAAATATCATAACTCGGCCAAAAATGCCTTAATTTGCATTCGGAAAGCGGTGTTATGTTAGTTTTTATGAGGTTAATAGCTTAAACGATTTGTATTTTAATGCTGATCAAGAATATATATGGTTTATGGGGTCGGAAATGACTTCTTCACTTAAAAAAATATTATTTTGTATTATAAAATCTGATTTTTTATATTAAAAATATCATAACTCGGCCAAAAATGTATTTATACTTGGTATTAGTATTTTCTTCGTTAAATTATGATTGGTAATAAAAAAAAAACAAAATACTTCCCAAAAATCCCTTTAATAATCAAGTATTTCCTTTTTTTAGTTTATGTCATTTCATAATATGTGGTTTATTAATAAATTATTTTATTTAAATTAATTTTTGTCAGTTTTCATTTTTGAATATTTATAATATTTTTGTTTGCTTCTTTGTTTTGCTTTTTTTTGTTTGCCTTCTTTCGTTGAAACAAAAAGGTGTTGTTCGCTTAATAATATTATAATAATAATCATAATAATATTCATAATAATAATTCATAATCATAATGATAATAATCTACTAAGGTGTTTTACATGGCAACTTTAATTTCATTTTCATTTTCATTTTCATTTTCGATTCGATTCATTCCGCTGCTTTTCGTTTGCTTTCATTTCGTTTCATTTTGGTGACTTGCTTTGTTGTTGTTGTAATTGTTGGTGAAATTGTTATTAATATAAGGAAACAAGGTACTAATCGATCGGAAGGATCAGCTTTAACTGAGGAGCAAGCAAAAGTGTGTTCTCTCTCCCTCTATCATTCGTTTCTATACGGCTTGGGGGGGGGAGGGGGATTCGGTTCCCTTGCTCGAAAATCTTATACAAATTGGTAATGATCGATATATATTTTTTGTTGTTGTATAATCTTTATATGCTGTTTAAATATGGCTGTATATAGTAATATAAGCATTTCGTGGAGATCACTCTGATTTTGTTCGTGTGTGTTGTATGTGTGTGTGTGTGTGTGTGTCTCTTCTCTTTTTGCTTGCTTAAAAAACCTGGGGAGGATATCCATCTGGATATCGGGATGGTATAAATCATATATCACTAGCTCTTAAAAGACATGCGCTGCTAATAACAACAAGAATTGAGTATTAATTTCTTTGCATCTATCGTTACCTTTGACCCTTTACCGTTACACTGTTACACTGCTTTAATCGTTAATCGTTATCTTTATCGTTATCATTATCTTGGGGGGGGGTAAGCACACATTTACATACTTACATACATACATACACAACAACTACGTTTAATAACCGATGATACAAATGTTAACAATTATGCGGCGGATCGATCGATAAATCGCTTATTTGCTAATCATCGTCTATCGTTTTCTTTGTTTATCGCTTGAAGGTTTCTTTTTGTTTCTTTTTTGGGGGGAGAGCGGTGCAAATCAGCGGGGTGTCTCTTGGGGGGAACTATATATTTAGGCATTATCTTCGAAGCGGGATCAGGCAGGTGGGACATTCATAGAACTTACATGGCAAAAACATTACATATTCGTATAGTACTTTCTTTGCTTCTCGCACTCTATCTTTCTCTTTTTTGTTTTCACTTAGCGTAATTAGTTTTTGGATTGTTTATGGTATTTAGGTTTTCTTTGTTTCTTTACCAAGCGAATTTAGCTCTCGTACACACACATATATTTATATATATATATATATTTATATGCATTTAATTTGTATGTATATTTAAGTATAGCCTAATTTCCATCATTAGTTTACCGTCTTCTCATTTCTCATTTCTCATTTTGCAAAAAAGCAGCATAAACAACTTTTGTGATCTTCTCGATTCATAATATATAGTGGGAAAGAATCCGAGTGTCCCCTTTATAGCTTTCGGTTATATTTCTTTCGTACTTTTATCTCTTGTTATCGCATTACACTTAGCCGGCGTTAATCGTTTATCGTTAATAGGTAATATTATAACTATAAAAATCGTTGAATGGGATCGACAAAAAAAAAGTAAATCCAAAGTTTCATGTGTTTTCTTTTTAATTTTCATATTTTGTGTGCATTTTTTTTTTTTGTTTTTTTCTTTTTTGATATTACATATACATATACATACAGCTTAGGATTAGAAGGGGCGTGGGCAGGGGGCGGTAAAAGCTTGCCTTGACTATATATTTATATATATATATATATAAAACTATCAGTGTGGGTGTATGAGTGTGTGTGTGTACTGTGGGTGGGTGGGTGACAAAACGAATAAAAAACGCTTTGAACTGACTAGAGAACATTGTAAATTTTGCCCTAAACAATATTAATAATATAATATAATGTCCGCAAATAGGTATAAATATAGTTTGGTTAAAAAAGATTATACAAAAGAAGTCTTTGCATTGGAATCGTCGAAACACATATGTACGAGAACCGATCCAATCGCTTTTCTTTGGGTTTTATAAAGATAAGATCTAGTTTTTAGAAAAGGGATATTATCTAGACTTTGCATATCCTTTAGAATCATTCAAGTTTTTGTGATAAATCAAAATTAAATAACAAATTAGCGGGACATCTTTGATATTTCGTATAGCTATACATCTAGTATTTTGATCAGCTAATTCTACATTCTGGAGGGAGGCTGTTTTCTGCTTCTGCTTTTGCTTCTGTTTTTGCTTTTGCTTTTGTTTCTGCTTCTGCTTTTGCTTTTTCTCTTCTAAGTTTTCCCTCTAACAAGCAAGCTTGGAAGAAGAAGGCTTGTGCTAAGCTCGATGCCCAGACTGGGCATGTGAAGTGGTGTGTGTGTGTGGTGTGGTGTGGTGTGTGTAGGTAAATTTGTATAAAGTTTACATTGTATATGGCACTGGTAAATGCTGGAAGCTTCAATAGGCCTAAATCTCACTTTCACCAATAATGGCAGTGCAGCTCGACTGAGAATTGTGTGTGTGTTTTTAGGATAAAAGGATATGTTTCTGGGGCAGAAAAAAATATATAAAAAAAAATTAACAAAAAAAAAAGGTTATAAACAATTCAAGCTAGTATTATAGGCTAATGATATTACCTTAAGTTGGTGATGTGTCTGATGTGAGAGCGTGTGTTTGCAGTCCTTAGATTGGTAGAAAGAGCAACTCAAGTTTAAGTTAAAAATATATATATATTAATATTAATACAAATATATTAATATATATATATATATTTTTATATATAATATGTACAGTGCGTGTCCTAGCTATAAGGCCGGAACAAAGTGACAAAGCTATCATTTAGGCCGTAGAAAATATTATCTACTAATGGAACTTTTGATTCTCTATAACTGTTTCTCATATTTTAGTATGTATGATTTATGTATATATAAATATTTTTAAAAAGGCTTTTATAAGATGCTGAAAAATTGTGGGAGCTTTAAGAGGGATTCAACGAGCCAACTGCCTTATAGCTAAGAAACGCACTGCACACACACCCTAACACGTTATGTACAGTACAAGGACTTGTAGAATTACAAATTTAGTTTAGCTTTGTTTTTTTGTTTTTGTTTTTTTTAAGCATTTTACAAAAATCAAATATAGATTGCTTAATTTCGTTTTACAATTCTTTGCTTTTTGTGTTTCTTTTCAGCTGTGTTTACCTTCTTTCTTCCCTTTTTTGTTTTTGTTTTTTTTGGACGGAACAATTTACAACATATGATTATGAAACAATGACACACGGCTCAACAAAGGTGGGGGGAGAGACGAACATAATACTTAGATGGCCTCTAAAATATAAACTAAGGATGAGAGTCGCTTATACTAAAAGTATATATATATAGATATATGCATGTAGATGTAGAAAACAGGCTTAGAAAACGAAAGAAGACATATAGGGTTTGGGTCTAGTATTTCTTATCAGTATGATTTGCTAATGGAATGAAGAGTATGATAACTATCTGTATCCGTATAAGAGCTTGAGGGGGAACGAGTTGCACAAAAGGTGAATGGATATGCATACATATATCTTTATAGTTATGGGTTGTGTGTGTTTTGGTGTGCTTGTGTTTGTTCCTCTTCGCGCTGGCAATAAATACAATATTCATAATAATAATAATAATGGTAATAATAATAATCATAATAATCATAATACAAGGTTTATAATAATCGTAATAAATATGCTCGAATGCTATAAATATGGTAAATTTGTCATATAAAGCTTGGATCGCTCGGTAATATCATATAATATTTGGTTAAACATTTCCCCCATACTTTCTCTTGTGTTTTCTATACCCTTTCCTTGGCTTTCTTTCAATGCAATCGATCAAATAAAGCTCATAAGCGTCTATATATCATTTGTTGTGTGTGTGTGTCTGTGTGTTTTTTCTAGTTTTAGTTTTAGCTTTACGATTTATGATTTATGATTTATGATTTATGATTGGTATTAGGTTTTAGGCTTCATTACCAACTTATACGTTTTCTGTTCATGTTTTTTTTTTTATGTTTAGATAATGCAGCATTTAATTTCTGTTTTTTTTTTCGAGTTTAGCGCGCTTTATATAATCATAAATATATATATATTTATATATTCTTGTATATATCAATGTATATTATTCAGTTTTTAAGTTCTAGCGACTTTTGGGAGCGGTGCCCGGCACATTTTGGAAACTCTCTCTCTCTCTTTCTCTCTCTCCACTAGCAAATCCCTCTCAAAGGCTGTCTCCGCTCTCTTTCTAATTCGACTTTAACTTCGACTTTAGCTTCGACTTCGACTTCGACTTCACTCTCTCTCTTTTTCTCTACTCTCTTTGGATATGCAACATTGAGAAGGACCTGAAAGTTGGACAAAACGTGGAGAATCAGACGGAAGGACCTGGTGGACTTGGACTTGGCAATTACCTAGAGATGCGCGTGTTTAGAAGCAAAGTGAAAATGGAAAAATGTCTGGCTTAAGCTATGCTTTTGATGGCTCTGACCCTTAACTACACCATATATAGTACTTAGGCAGATACAAGATACAGTTACACAGTTATATATATATACTACATATGCTTTGTATGTATGTATGTGTTTTTGTGTGTGTATTTTGCCCAGCGATTTCGAGTTTGTTGTGTGTCAGGCACGCGCTCCTCGAGATACACACCACGTTACATATAAGGTGTATGCTTTAAATATGAACTTAGCCTAGCAATAAATATGTCTTACTTCCTTCCTGCGACTGGGACTGGGACTGGCTTCGTTTCCTATAATATGCTTGCTTCCGTTTCCGGTTTAAGAAAAGATCGTTCTCTTACGTTCTCTTACGTTTTGGTATGTCCTTGGGGGGGGTTTAAGAGTAAGGTTTTGGGTATTGCTAGAATTGCGTTTTAGATCTGGGCTTAAAATTGCCTGCTTTCGATATCCAAGGCTCCATCGTAGGCATCAAAGGCTTCGGCTTCCGCTTCCGCTTTAGCTTCCTTTTCAGCTTCTACTGCTGCTCCATCTGATATTTGATTACTGGTTTTGTTGGTTATTCCAGCTGCTGCTGTCACTCCCGCCACCAGCTCATCGAGCAGCTGCATCTGCTTGCGCGTGGGCGTGGTCAGTGGTGTGGCAACCGTCTGATAACGCTGATGGAACGTGGACAATATCTCGCGAATTTTAGCAATGATCTCCTGTACTCAGGCATTTGACTCCTAAGAAAGCAATGAGGAATTCTTGAATCTAATAACAAAATCTAAAACAAAACCACTCACCTTTAGGTTGTCAAAATAATGCATGATTTGCTCATAGTCCATGTCTAGATCATCCAGTCCAAGACGCTCTCCGGGCGCCACAGACTCATCCACCGTGGCCGAGAACATGGGATTGCCCACCACAGTGGCTCGCTTTACACGCGACGATTTAGTGGTGGGCTCTTGGCTGACGGCGCTCGCTGGCGGCAGCCTCATAATCTCATCGGTGGCATTCGAGTTGGCCGCATCACCAGTGCTGCTCACCATGCTGTGGTTCTCTGCGGGGAGAATGTTGGGTTTAGGCAGGCTGACGAAAGGGGGGAAATCTAGCTGAAGGCTCACTTACCCTTGGCTTTGGGCGAGGAGGCGGCCGATGCTTTGGTCACTCTTTTTGGTGTCAACGAATCAAACTGAAAGGCGTTCTTCTGGTGGGGATTCGTGTACTCCACCAGCTTCTCGGCATTGTGCAGTTCCTCGTGTTGCTGCTGCTGCTGCTGTTGTTGCTGCTGCTTGATCTTGTTGTGCGCCGCCTTGATGATGGGCTCCTGACTGAAATTGTGGCTATGGCTATGGCTGCGCTGATGCTGCGGATGGGGAGGATGTGGGTGAGGAAGCAGATGGGCAGGGTTATGGGGACGTTCCAGTGGTTGTTGCTGCTGTGGATTGGCATTGGCATCGCTGCCACTGGCCTGGATGGGCTCACGTTTGTAGAGCTGACTATGACGCTTGATGGGGGCATCCTTAAAGATGAATTTTCATTTCAATTTCAATGCAAAACGAGTCACAGTTTTGTTTAAATATATACCTTTAAGGAACTGGTAGAACCAGAACCCGGAGCCGGAACAGGTATGGGCTGTACCGGCAGACAGGCCCGGGCCCCCACATTCCTATGCGGCGGCACTGGTGGCTTGTAGTCCAAGGCATTGTCCTTGCGCTCGTTGGCCAAATAGCTAATGAAGAATTAAAGCATTAGCAAGGGAATCCTTTCTTTGGGGAACCCAAAATCCAGGCTCAATACTCACTGATCGGCATGCTGCTTGTTCAGATTGGAGGCCGGCACAATGTGCGTCTGCAGCTTGGGCTGCTGGTCAAAGGAGCTAACCCTTCGCCCGTTATCGTAGTTGACAATGGGATTGCTGGTGATGCGCATGCGGGAGTCTTGAAAAAATACAACAAAAAAAATACAATAAAATAATAAATAAAATATAATTTTTAAATTCACACTCACCCCTTGCATTCAAATGCGTATTGGACTCTGTGACCATCGACTGCCTGTCAATGGTGGAGCGTCCCAGCCAGACCCAATCGTGCACATTCGTTGTGGACTCCTTGAGGCGCACATCCCTGAAACCGCCGCCGCCTGCTCCGCCTGAACCATTACCCCCCTTGCCCGCCGACAGGGGATCCAAGCCCGACTCAATCATGGCTGGCCGGAACTTGGAGGCATAGACCACGCACGAGATGACAAAGACAATGATGGCAAAGCAGAAGGCGGTTAGCAGGACGTACATGCCCAGCTCCATGGAGGACATGGTGCCAGTGCCTGCGGGACCCTTCACATGATGATTCTTGTGCACCGCCTGGATGTTGCCCCGATGCTGGCGAGCCTGAACAGTGGGTTCATACTGCTGACTAGAGTCGCGCAGCGGTATACCAACTATAATATCAGCCAGATCGCTCATCTGGCGATAGTTCTTGCGCTCCCTGCCCACCGTGCCATCGTTTTGGATGGCCTCCTGCTTGCTCACAATATCCACATTGTTGAAATCCACCTCAATGGAGGCCAAGGCGCTGGCCAGCGGCGCTGGATTCGATTTATTTTGCTTGGTGCTGCTGCTCAGAGTGCCGCGTCGCTGGCGACACTCCTCGGAGAGGAGGAGGGTCACGCGCAACAGATTGCCATTGCCCTCGCCCACGGCAATCACACGGGGATGATGCGAGGCCAGCATGGGGGCAAAGGCCACCACCTCGGTGTCCAGGCTCTCCACCAGCAGGAAATAGTCCTCCACGGCAATGTCACTGCAAAACACAATCTTAAAACTTTGAAAATAACAAAAATATACACCACTTACCGCAGCGGCGTCTTGGAGCCATCGGTAAACTCCAAATCAATGTCTAGCAATCCCTCCTGGTACTGGGCCGTCAGCTTGTGCGTCACCGAGGTCTCCGCCAGATAGCCATTCTCTATCGTGTTGTCCGGACTGATGGTCAGCTGAAGACCAGAAATGACGCGCACAATGAGCTTGGACAGGTTCACCTTGTCGCTGCCCACACGGATTTCCTTGGTGCCAATGACACGACCCGTGATTGGCGACAAAACCTGAACGTCTGTGCGTCCCATGGACTTGCCCTGAAGGATGCGTCCCTTGAGCGAGGCTATCTTGGGATCGGCCACCCGGAGCAGCGGCTGCACGAGATCAGTGACCCTTAGGCCGGTTCGTCGCGAGATAAAGTAGCTCGTGCGTCCAGAATTCTGGTCCACGGCCAAGAACTTGGCATAGACCTCGACGGGACTCTGCTGGTAACGTGCCCGGCACACCGTCTTGTCGGCGCCCAGGTTGTTGTAGTAGTTGGTGCCATGCTGCTGGCCCCACACGTACGATCTCTTCTTCCTCCGCCGCGACTGCTTGTTGTGGCTGCGAGAAGGGCGAGAGAGGGAAAGGGAAGATGAGTGGGAATTGTCACCAACTCAATATCCTCAAGTCTTAAGCCTAAATATTTAAATTTTTAAGGATGTAATGACCCCTTATAAAATTATGAAAAAGTAAATAAACATTTTTTTGGGACATCTCAAAATCTAAAAAAATTATAACTCCCTCAAAAAAGCGTTCATTTCAAATCGGAAAGCGGCGTAATGCTAGTTGTTATTAGCTTAACAAATCTGCATACTTAATTTAACGCCTAACTTTGTTGTCGATTTTAAAAATGTATCCCATTACATTTTTTTTTTTTAATGGGATACACATTTTTTGGGACAAATCAAAAATCTAAAAAATATCATAACTCTGCCAAAAAAGCTTTAAATTCAAATCGGAAAGCGGTGTTATGTTAGTTTTAATACGCTTAACAAATCTGCATACTAAATTCAAATTCAAATTTTTTGTCGATTTTTACAAATTTTAACGATGTAACTAACCCCTTAAAAAATTGTGAAAAAGTTAAAAAAAATGTTTCTCCTGCAAACATGACTAGAAAAATTCGTTTTTTAATGCTGATCAAGAATATATATGATTTCTAAGGTCGGAAATGGCTCCTTCATTGCTTTTTAAGCTTCTAACTTAAAAAGAGGATATAAAATCAAAGTTTCAACTCACAGATAGTGATTGTCATCCGTCACCTTCCAGCCCTTGATCTGCGAGAGCCTGAAATCGGATATGTAGACTTCCAGGGGGAACTCCGGCATCCAGACAATGAACTTGGCCACGCCCACGTAGGTGCCATACTTGACGATAACCGAGGCATTCGATGAGCCCCGCTGCTCAGAGCCATCCACATAGACCGAGCTGCAGGAGGAGGAAACCTGAAAGGAGTTCCGTCATTAAACCAATTATTCCTCATCAAATCCCCTGGAAAACGCACCTTGATGACGCTCTCGTCCTCGGCGTGACAGGAGCTCTGGAGCGTGACATCGGCCACCTTGCCCGCCTGCGAGACGATGAACACCTTCATGGCCTGGGCCACTTGGCGTCCAGTTAGCACCGCCGTGTTCATCACCTCCCAGATCTTGGCCATCGGCAGCACCGCCTGAATGTCATCCTTGTTGATCTCCAGCTTGGCGATGAGTCGCTTCTTGGTATCATCGCTGGTCACCAGTTCGCCCGAATCCTTGTCCTTGGGCGTGTCATAAACATGTGTGACGGACCACACAATCTTGCCGCCATCCACAATATCGTTGGTGTCCTCGGCCACCTCCAGGAGCCAGGAGAAGACCTCAAACACCTCGGCCGTATAATTTCCGCCGGATTGTCCCGACTCCACACTGGATTCGGGCTCCTTGCGGAACGCTGTCACCCGGGCGGTGGTATGCTTCGGATTCTCCTTCTCCACGGAGACGGTCCAGAGATCCGTGGAGGCGGTGGCGCCCAGTATGCGTAGTCCCGCCTTGACGCGGGCTCGCACCGTAAAGGCGGCCACCCGCTGGTCCGGATACTGGTGCAGAAAGACGGGCACGTGCAGCCGGGAGAGCGGATACAGTGGATGCTGGGGCAGCAGGAAGGTAACGGCATCATCGGCGCGCAGCATGCGGTAAGGAGTCTTGGCCGCCAGCAGCGGCACCTGGGCGAACGTGGTCAGCGGCTGGATCTGCACCTTGGGCTCGCATTGCTCGGGATTCCTAAGCGGAGGCTCGAACACACTGTACGACACCTGGGCGTAACGTTGCGGCACCTTGGGCGGCGCCTGGCTGCCACCATCTTGGCTCGGGGCCGGCAATGCTGGCCACCAGCCCAGCGGGACCACCACCTCGGCCACGCACACACCATCCTCGCCCTCGGGCATGCAGCGACCCTTTAGCGGCTGCTCCGAGCCCATGGCCACGTGTAGGAGCACACACACCTTCTGGCGCTGCAAATGGCCGCCTGGATCGGCGCCCGCATGGAAGAGCACGCGGAGCACAGGTGCATCCTGCGAGACGCTAGGCCGAACCAGATGCGCCGAGATGTCCAGATGCATGTTCGGCTGCTGCAGCTCCAGCAGCGTGGCGGTGTTGTTCTGCAAGGTAAGGAAATAAATGGGATGAGAAAGAGTCTCTCGCGGATGTCCTGGATGAGATTACTCACGCTCATGTAGTCGCCGCCGCCCGCCTGGCTGTCCATCGTGTCCGGCACAATGTAGCGGGCCGGCACCGTCTGCTTGGTGGAGAAGGGTCCGTAGCTGGCGCGTATCGACACCGGCTGCGTGGTCTCCACTACGGTGAAGCGGTCCAGGGATAAAACCGAGTCATAGGAAGAGCGCTGCCGCAGAGGCGGCACCGCCGACGAGGTCGTTTGCACGTTGGCTATCTCCGGCGTGACAGGTGGTTGGCGAGCGTGCTTCAAGAAGAAACCACTGTCCGGGGCCTCGAAGTGCACCTCCACGGAGTCTGGCGGGGATTAGAGCAAGAGTTTTGGATTAATAAAAGGTTTTATTTTGTAAATTTGGATTATTATTAAAGGGAGATGTTTTTTTATGAAGTTTTTTAAGATTTTTTAAAGATTTATTTTTAATCTTGAATATAAATTAAATTATGAATAAAATACATTAAATTATAAATTAATTAAATTTAAATTATAGGTAAATTGGTTTTGGAAAAATGTCTTAGATTTTAAATTGTTTTTTTAAACCCATACTTTTATTCTTAAAAATAAGAGAAAATCGTTGAAACCTTACGGAGGTGTTACTTTCGGAAGTTTGTAGGTTTTTTCATTAGTTTAAAATATAAATTAAAATGTAAATAAAATTCCTGGGCATAAAGTGACTATGGGAAAATGTCCTAGATTTTTAAATAATTTTATTTATATATAAAATATGTACGTTATTTTTATTCTCTTAAAATTAGGAAAAATCTTTTCATCCTTTGGAATTTTTTTTTTTAAGTATGTAGGATTTATGTTCTATTAATAAAATTAAATTATAAATAAAATTCCTGGATATAAAGTGACTTTGGCTGTATCTAAGATGAGAATATCTTCGTTTTCGAATTTGTAAATTACATTTAAATAACTATTCTTTTATTATTTAAAATCTGGGGAATCCTTAGAACCTCTGGGAGTTGTCTTTCCAAAAATGTATAGGATTTATCTTTGATTTACAATATAAATTTAATTATAAATAAAATTTCTGGACATAAAGATTCTCTGCCTATATCTAAAATGGGAATATATATATCTTCGTTTCGTTATTTCTAAATTAGGGAAATCAGGGAAAATCTATAATTTTCGTAGTTTAAATAGAATATTAAGGAGAAATTTAAATTGACGTATAGTAATACAATTTTCTATGTAATAATAAGCTTTATCATAGAGGAAATTCAAATAACTCAACAGAAATTTTATTAATTTCGGTATATTTTTAAGTGTTCAATTAGGCCTAACTTTTGCTATAAAATCGACAAAAAGAATATATAACCATAGATATATGTATATATATTTTTTATATGTTTTATAAATCCAATTTTGATTATATTAGAGCCATTTTCCTAATGTCCTTTAAGGGTTAACTTGGCTTCTTAACTTTTAATATGTTTTCCAACTGTCAAGATTATCGATTTAATTTAATATTTTTTACATTTTAATTTAAGCTCTACTTAGAGAAACTGGTCCTTAATTAATGTCCGGTTAAAACCAGCTTCTACTATTAACTTAATCAGGTCCTTTTCTAACTGGCACTATAAATTACATATTGTAAAATATAAATATATACCAGCAGATGGAGAAACTGTCTCTTAACTTAAATAAAATGTAAATGTAGTAAAGAAATTCCCCTAACAATTGTTGTTACCATTTCTGTTGAAATTTGGTCAATGAAATGTTTTCCAAGCCAAAGGTTTGCTCTGTAACTACTTTTTTTTGCCGGCTGTGGTGGGTAGAGGAGGAGTGCCTCCTTTGCCTGCTCCTCCCCAGCGGCTGCTTTTTATTAATAACTTGTGCCCCGTGGGCCAGCAGCACCAGCACCTACTCCCACTCCTCCTCCGCCTCCGCCTCGGCCTACTGCCTCTGCTTCCCCCCGTCCCCACTCCTCAGATACTCCCTTTGTTTTCTTTATTTATTTATTACTTACATGCAATCGACGTCAGCATCGTCATTATCAGGCAGAACCTCATCATGGTGTCGATTTCGTTAGTCCACAGTCCACGTAGTCCGCAGTAGTGGTGGCCAAGACAAGTCCTTGTGATTCCGAATCCCTCGGAAGGAAGTTACCCAAATGCTGCGTTCTGCTCGGAAACGAGTCTCAAAATTGTTTGTTCGTTCACAAAAGTTTATTTGTTTATATCTCTCGATGTGATTGTGATTGCGATTGCGATTGTGGTGTACCGTTAGGCGAGCCAAGTTAACTGCACTCTGCACCTGCACTCTGCGCGACGTGACGTTTTTCGTCCTTTTTTTCGCTCAGCAATCCGCAGCACATCCTTTATTGATTCTTTCAGTGTGCCATCACACACACACACTGGCACATACAACACCCACACTGGCACTCACACGCGCACACACTGCCATGGCCGATACACACACACAGTTGCTCCGTGGTATAGACACAACATCTCTCCTGCAAAACTCTGCAGCTCTGCCCCCAGAAAGGAGTGAATTGAAACGCTGATGGGGCAACAACTGCCTGTGGTTTGCACTTTTTCACGCGCTGGCCAGGTCGCTGCTCGATAACGCACAATAAACGCCTACAGCATGGCTATTTTCATTCAGCTCTCAGAATTTTACGCAAATATCGAACATTTCCAAACACCCTTCGACAGTTAGCAGTGTGACCAGTGTTTGATCAAAATTTGGCCCTCCCCTACAAATTGAAATACTCCCTAAAAAAGCCACACCTTGTATTCAAACCACATCTGATACTACAACCTCTGTCTGGCAACACTACATGCTTTGAAATTCAATAAAAATATCGCGATTTCGATATTTGGGCAAACAAATTTCTCGATATAATATCGATATACTGTATTTTGATATATATCGACAACCCTGTTCGAACAAAAGTTAGAAAAGACAAAAGTGCAGCCGAGTTTTTAGTAGTTGCCGACGAAACCCTAAAAGTATTAACAATTCCACATTCGCCAGCTGTGAGTATGAGTTAAATTGGGCGCCACGGCCCTCAAAGGGACCAACTCAAGGGGGCGCTGCCCCTGTGGGTGTGCGTGACGTGTGTGAGTGTATGCGTATGAGTCAGCGTCGGCTCAAAAGGAAAACAATTGTTTTCGTGGTAAAGTACGTTTAAAAGAGCATGTGAAAGTGACAGATCGCCTGCCGCGCTATAAGTTTGCCTCACTTGAGCCCCGAGTGGAGTGGCACGGCCTCAAGCCGCCTTTTTCTGCTATTTTCTTGCCTTTTAAGGCGTTTAATTAAAAGCGGCCAGCGTATGTGTGCGTGCCCGTGCATGTGTGTGTGTGAGAATGTTTTCAATGAGCCAAATTCATTGTTGTTCTTGTAAACCGCAGTTCAACAGCATTGATAAACACTCACACAACCCAAACTCCATACGTGTCAGTGCGAGTGACTCAGAAGCTGCCTGAGTGCCTGTATGAGTCTCCGGCAGTGGTGCCAACTCCCGCTTAAAAAAAAGCTAGATTAAATTAAATAAACTAGCTAGATATGTTAAATATAACTGAAAAAAGGCTTAAAAATAAAAAGATCAAATTATATATATTTTTTAATTTAATGAAAACTTTCTCAGAATACATCAGTATTTAGGCCTTGGCATGTAAAGATTTGTGAATATAATTACTTCTAAATATTTATTTATTATTATTTTTTTATATTTATTAAATATTTGGCTATAAAACGGCCAAGCCGCTTGCTCTGGCCATGAGTCTTAATGTTGACACAGTTTGTTGGGAGCACTGAAAATCGGTTTCAGCGGAATTCGCTGCAATATGTCTATATATAGCCATAAATAAATACATATACACACTGAAAAACTGAATGCTAATGCCAGCTGCTTTTTCGCCTTTTTTCGGTTTCAGGTCCACGCCACACACACACATACCACACATCACCCAACTGCACAGGCTCCACACAGCTCATCCAACGGCTCCGCAGTTCCACAGCTCAATAGCTCCTCTCCACTAGCACTCTCCACCAATTGCCACCATGTCATCCCGCAAGACCGCCGGACGCCGTGCCACCACCAAGAAGCGTGCCCAGCGCGCCACCTCCAATGTGTTCGCCATGTTCGACCAGGCGCAGATCGCCGAGTTCAAGGAGGCCTTCAATATGATCGACCAGAACCGAGATGGTTTCGTTGAGAAGGAGGATCTGCACGACATGCTGGCCTCGCTGGGCAAGAACCCCACCGATGACTACCTCGATGGAATGATGAACGAGGCACCGGGCCCCATCAACTTCACCATGTTCCTGACGCTCTTCGGCGAGCGTCTGCAGGGCACCGATCCCGAGGATGTGATCAAGAATGCCTTTGGTTGCTTTGACGAGGAGAACATGGGCGTGCTGCCCGAGGATCGGTTAAGGGAGCTCCTGACCACCATGGGTGATCGATTCACAGACGAGGATGTAAGTTTTCAAATCTATATAAATATACAAATAGTAAGGCTTCCCTTGTTTACTTGAACTTGAGCTAAATGGGTATTGCCACACGTTTTTGTTTATTTTATAAGAGTGTTTAGGTTGACTTGGGATTCACATGTTTATTTACTATGAATCCAAGTTAAGAGCTGAGTCAGTCAGTCATTCAGAAATTTTGTTTAAAAACCTTTATGGTTTATATTTAAAAACAGTGTTTGTCTTAATAATTAGCCTTTGAGGTCTAGACCAGCTTTTAATGAGAACGTTGAACAATCTGTGGCATAAGAATAGAGAATTCGGGTTAACTGCTGTTACAGCAATTAAGAGTTTGCCAAAAAAACCCCCTTTTACTAAACAATAATATATATATTTATATACTAAATCTTTTTTGCAGGTGGACGAGATGTACCGTGAGGCGCCCATCAAGAACGGCCTCTTCGACTATCTAGAGTTCACGCGCATCCTCAAGCACGGCGCCAAGGACAAGGATGAGCAGTAAATTCCACCGTTCATCCAGCCAGCAGCAGCTGTTGCCTTTCAAAACCAGCCGCCGCCGCGCCGCCTGTCTTATCAATCCATCATGAGTTTTTTTGTTTTTGATAATTTAATATGTATTTTTTTTTACTCGGCCACCGTGCGCCTATTCTCTATCCTTTGATTCCTGTACTTACCTGTGCATTTAAATTAAAACAGAATGTAGTGAACACAAGCTAATGTTATGTACGATATTATGTGGTGTGTGTGGAGGAGCGCCGCCTGATAACACGATTTCCCGAACCCCTTTCATAAGTATTAACTCATTGAATATACATATATATATTACCTATATACAAATACATACTTATACAAGAATGTGGCAATAAAAGTTCGTTTTTCTTACACACTTTTGTTGTGCTCTGTAAATACCCAAGTCCTTCAGGCCCATCAGCCCCAGTTGTTCAAACAGACGCAAGTTGGGGGGGCAAACTAGCAGCGTGTTTGGGTTCTGTGATCTTAAAACAAGATCTGCAAGATCTGTGCGTTAATTGTGGGTGGAAGAGAAAGAGAAGAATGGACAACGTTTTGGTTAGGCGGGGGTAAATTTAGTTGCCAACTCATATCTTATCTTGTGGACACGATTCGTCATTGATATTTGAGATATTTGAGTCATGTTTTGAATAAAAGCCTTTGAAAGCCTCCGACAAAGCTAAAACCAAACACCATAAAATACTAAGATGCATAGCGTAGAATCCATGGGATGTCGTTGTATCCATATTAGAGAGAGCCGCCTAGAGGCATTCTTATTACTATTTTGTTTTTGTTTTTGTAAGAATTTTATTTGCAAAAATCTAAAGTAGTTTTATAAATTTCATAAATTTTTATTGATTTATTTTAGCAAAAATCGAAAGTATATAAATTTTATGGCCTAGAAAAAAATGAGTATCCCTTTGGCATACTCTCCCTGTTAAAGCTTTGGACAAACTCTGTACATTACACACTTTAGGACATTTTATAAACAACAAACTCAATAAACAACCATTTGCAAAAGACATTAAATATATAAACTTGAGACGGACAAAGGTAAAACAACATTAAGCCACAGACTTGAGACGGGAGCTTGGCTAAGACTAAGCGTATTCCGAATTAAAACTTATTTTATATACAAACAAGGCTTTACAGACTATAAATTAATGGCTAATGGCCTCAGCAGCAGCTACCGGGAGATGATTACTCCACCTTCTTTGGCGGCGGAGCCGTGTCGAAGCGACCCTTGCCGCCCGAACGCGCCTTGTAGGCATCGCGCACCTGGTTGATCACGTTGGCAAAGAGTATGGTGCCAAAGAAGACCAAAACGGTGCCCAGCCAGTGGTTCAGGGTGAAGGGATTCCGGAAATAGATGATGGAGAACAGCAGGGAGACGAACTTGCGCAGCGTGACCACCAGGGTGACGGTCAGCGAGGCACACTCGGTGGTCAGCACATAAACGGCGCTAATGCACACATACTGGGTGACCACATTGCACAGCAAATAGAACAGCATCAAAGGGAACTTCCACTCTAAGCCGATGGCACCGAGCAGAGGAACAGCCACCGGTTCGGAGGACAAAGCAATGCCAAAGTGCTGGACAATGTTGCTGGCCATCACCAGGAATCCAGGCAGCGGCAGCATGTGCGTGTAGAAGAGCGCCTCGTTTGGATGCTTGCCATAGCGCTTGTATATCACCTCCTGGTAAATCCCCATATAGGCGGTCACCAGCAGGGCAATCGTCAGCAGGCCAATGCCCACGGCCCACCAGAAGAAGTCCGAGTATGCCGTCTCCACCCGCAGCGTATGGTGCGTATTGTCCTTGACATCGCCGCTGGAGACCAGGGTGCACAGAACAATGCCCGCCGTGATCATGGCCACCGAGCTGTACTGCCGCAGGTTGTAGCGCTTCTTTAGCAGGATTATGCCCATGATCATGTTGGCCATCAGCGAACCGCTGCGGAAGATCATGTGCAGCGGCATCGGAATGTTAAAGTTGAAGGCGTAATTATTGCAGACATTTGCACCGAAAAACAAAGCCACCAAAATCACATAGTCCTTCAGGGCGATCTTTGGACGCACTGTAAAGAACTTGGAGGTGAAGACGAGACCCTCCAGGGCAATGAACAGGAATTGGGCGAAGGTGATCAGGTTGCCTGCACCGGGATCGATTTGGATGATTAGTTCGAGGAACACCACGTTACTGCAGCAGCCGATGAACACGAACAGCATGCCCAGCAGGGCCTTTACGTTGATAGCCATGGCTGAAACGGGATCAGAGAGAGAGAGAGAGGGGAGTTAGATGTATATTTTTGGTATATGTGAACTTATTTTGGGTTGAGAAACAACTTGGGGATATTTTGTGTTATTTTTAACTCGACTGCTCGATATTCCTGATATTGATTATACATTTCTTCGAGGCTTTAGTTGATTTTTTGGGCAATAAAAAATTAATAATGTAGTAATACGGATTACTAAATCGGTTTATAACTAGTTTTTATTATTATTTTACTATTTTTATTACAATTCTTCAAGACTGCAGTTAGTTTCTTGTTAATTTCTTAATAATAGAGATTGCTAAATGGATTTATAGCCCCATAGAAACCCAGCAAAATATAGATTTAACTACCCTCATAACTAGTTTTTACTATTTAACCGATCGTGATTACTTTAATTAATTGTTTGCGGTTTAAATTCCACCATTCTCAGTCTTTAAAGGTTCTATTGAAGCTTGACAACAATCTTTATCTGCCTGATAATCGCTAGTAGTGAATTTATAATATTATTCTGGGAGAAATCAAACTTATTTTGTTTCTGGCAAATAATCAGTTCGATTCACAAAACATTGCCTGTCATCATGGCAAACAATTTAGCTTTGTTTTGAACTTGGCACCCGATTATGTAAATCCTATGCGTACGAAATACAACTTTAAATGAAATTCCTAAATAGAAACTATTATTTACCCTGCTTGAAAGATACAAACAATAATTAGTTGGTAATTCCAGCACTTCTTATCGGTTATAAGAATATATGTAACTTTAAAATAGTCTCACTTAATGCCTCCTGGAGTGTGGTGAAATTCAAACTGAAAGAAACTAATTAATTGTGTTTAAGTTGTGTGCTAAGCACAAGCTGATACCAACCAAAGATGAATAAATTAAATAACCAGAAATTGGTCAAGCATAATTCTGTTTTTCTTTGAGAAAAATAGTAAACAAAGGTAACTAAATATAGTTTCAATCCATTTTTCTGTTGTTATTTCTGGTTTCCCTGGACTGATGTTGAATGTGTGCTACTGATTTATAGGTAAATAAGAAATTTAAGACGATTTGGTTGAGTAAATCTTTGATTAAAAAACAACAAGGTGCCTATAGAAATCTTAAAACATTTCGTCTGCTTGAAATCAAAGGTTTTTCTATTGTAAAAAATTAAACAGGAAAATTAAGAGGTAAAGCTGAAGCTTAAAAAATATAGAAATAATGTAAAAATGCAACAAATAAATATCTTTTTAAACGCCGAAGAAGGTCCATTAGTTATTGTTAACCGATTGCTAAATATTGCTAATGTCAGGTCCCATACACATGTGCGGACAAACTTGTGTGCCACCGATATCATCGAGGGAGTCGGAGATAGTAGCTGCTGGAAAGCTTATCTGCCTCAGAGGGACGGGGAGTGACAGAGAGGTGTGCGAGGGAGACTCTGAGAATATTGGTGCTCGCTCAGCGTTAGTCGGCAATTCGGGAACGGGAATGGGGAGGGAAATGGGAACTCTCCGATCGCTGCCCAATGTCACGTTGCGGCGATAAGGGTTACGTTCCGCAAACTATTTGGCGGGCACTCATTCTAATGGTGGCACTTACCTTCGCAATGGATGAAGGTTCCGCGGGAAATGCTAGTTAATCCGGTTCTAAGGCAACGACGACGACGACGACGACGACTCCGATCGCGGATCTAACGTGCACGCTCTTGTGTGTTCTTTTCAAGATCGATTATATCAGTAGTGGCTGCCTCTATGTAAATGCAATTTATATGTATGTTTAATAACACACAAGCACACACACACACTGGCATACACCCGCACACCAACCTGGGAATCAATTAGCTGGCTCTCTCGAAGTTCGCTCTCTCCGCATTCGCCACATTGGGTTGTGGGCGACCTTCTCTTCTCTCTTTCTTCTATTGTTCTTGTTGCCTTGGACCGCCGCTGCTACTGCTGCTGCTGCTGCTGCTTACCGCTCGTTGGGCGCATTGGAACTGCGGGGAGTTTTTGGCGAACGGGCGCCAGGTAGCCCCCTAATAACTGTTAACTTGATTACAATCTTCTTGTTGTTGCTGCTGCGGAGCGGCTTGAGCGTTGTTGTTGTGATGAACAGCTGAAATTAGGCTGGCAGCAGTGTGACCAGCAGTGGCTCACAGGTAAAATCCTCAAAAAGCTCAAATCGATTAACGATAAAAAGCTTTTACCGATTGGCGATCGTTTTTTCTTGATGTTTTTAAAAAAGGCAAATTGTTTAGCTTAGTACTTATTGTTTAATAATGTTTTTCAGAAATCTATAGTTTGGCTTACTGATTTAAATTTTATAAAAGCTAATTTAAAGCTTAGGGCTTTAAACTTCGATTAATGATTACCATTGCTATCGAATTTGAATATTTGAATCCAATTTAAATACTTGGAATTACTTTCTTTTCACCCAAAGTTTACCATCCCAGAGCATATATATTAATGCCGAAAGTCTATTCAAAGAATAGATTAGATAATTGGGTCATTAAGTTATTAAGTTCTTAACACTGCTTTTAAATTTATTTATCGGAGGTTTTCTTTGTTGCTCTAGCGGTATATATCTCAATAAATATACGTATTATTTTTTAAGCAACCATAAAATATGGGCATGTTTATGATGGAGCAAAGATAAGGCGGATAAACAGAGCCCCTAATCTGTCAAAATGCATTATTGTAGCTTCAAGTTTATAGCCACTTCTCGGTGTTTCGTAAACTTATCTGTCTTTATGGATGTATATTACGGGGCACGGTCTTGGCCGTGGACCTGAAGCAGAGTCTTCTTGGTGGGCCAAGATAATCAAGCGTTGGCAGTTCGATTTTTGGCACAGCGCAGCCATGAAGAACATCATTCTACTCCTAATAGCCTTCTTATCCAGCTCTCAGCAGGTGAAGATACTGATCTTAAATTAAAAAGATACAAAAATAACTAAAAAGTTGGGACATTTCATCTCTTAGGTCTCCCTGCCGAGTGATCCCACCTACAAAGCCGGTGTCGTAGAGCATCCCGAGGTGACGGGCGGCGATAATGCTAGGGACAGAACCTCTTTGGCCTGGGCCTCCTATCAGCAGATTCTGCGCGATGTCCAGGACTTGGACATTCTGGTCTTCCCCGAACACATTTTAAACAGCCGCGCCACGGCCACCTTTGTGCCCCACGAGTCGGAGAATGTGACGCCCTGCTTCCAGGCTGACTACGAGATCTTCCTCATTGAGGCCTCCTGCTCGGCTCGTGCCCGCGGCATGTATGTGGTCCTCAATCTGGTGGAGAAGGAGCTCTGCGCAAATGGTGCCGGTTCGGAGACCTATGGCCCTTGTCCCGAGACGGGAGTGCGGAACTTCAACACCAATGTGGTCTTTGATCGAACGGGCAAGGTGGTTTCACGTTACCGAAAGACGCACTTGTGGCGCCAAGAATACTACTCCACGTCTGTACTCCGTACGCCGGACGTGGCCACTTTTACGACAGACTTTGGGGTGACCTTTGGCCACTTTATCTGCTTCGACATGTTGTTCTATGAGCCGGCCATGACCCTCGTCCGAGAACGCGATGTCACGGACATTATTTATCCCACCTACTGGTTTTCGGAGCTGCCCTTCCTGGGAGCCATTCAGCTGCAGGAGGGTTGGGCCTACGCCAATGATATTAATCTCCTGGCAGCGGATGGCAGCAAGCCGTCTGGTCGCACCACAGGGTCGGGTATATATGCCGGCCGGGCGGGACGTCTAACGGCGGAGATTTACCAGGAGCCAACCCTAACGGTGCTAGTGGCCGATGTGCCCAAGAGGAATACCCCGAGGACCATGCCACCAGTTACGCTATTTACGCCGCAGCTGATAACCCCGCGACATACGGGCGTGGCGACCCACAGGGACTACAATGTGGACATCTTCCAGACCGAACTCCTTGCAGCGGATTTCCTTACGGTGGAGAAGGAGTTGTGCCATGGGTCCTTCTGTTGCAGCTTCAGCATTGAAAGGGTGGCGACGCCGCTGGGTACCCATGTGCCCACCGCCACTGATGTCTCCTATCGCTACAGGATTGGTGCCTACCATGGCAACGAGACCACGGTGATCCGAGTGGACCGCACGGAGCAGGCCACCTGTGCTCTGTTTGCCTGCACCGACGATCAGCTCTACAACTGTGGCTACATCTACCCGGAGACGGAGCAGGTGCTTAATGATTACTACTTTTCCAAGCTCAGTATTAGTGGGGCCTTTCCGGCAGCCCCTCGTGGCCGCCGCCTGATCATGCCCAGCTCTCTGACTGGCCAATTCCTGCCCGTCTCCGCCTCGGAGTTTGATTGGACCGAGAGCGTTCTGGCCGCGAACTTCACGGATATGCCTGTGAAGGTGGACATGGAGCTAAAGCAGCCACAGAACGACCTGCTGACCTTTGCCATTTGGGCGAACTACTTCACCGATTTGCCCAGCAGCCACAACTTGGATCACATGCAGCCCCAGCAGCCCTCCACGTCCAATGCAGCGCCCAGGATGGCCGTCAGTCTATTGCTTCTGCTCTTGGGCTGTCTGCTGATGAAGTTGTAGTAAAGCATCCTTTTTTTTTATTTTTTTTTATGTTGAAAGCTTAACCTTTGATTTTTTTAATTGTCTAACTATATAAAGTTGTAAAACAATATAAATTAATTATTTTATCAAAAGCTTCATAGGCTTATCTTTATTTTTATTGAGATTCTTCTAACTTGAAAAGTGGGCCGACAGATTAAACTATAAAGATATAAAGAGGTGTCTATATAAATAGATATTTTAAGAGCTTCGCTTATCTGGATTTGAAGATAAACAGGAAATGTACCTTGTCCGTCTATAAACTGAAAGTTAAGCAGACAAATGTTATATCTTTTTTTGCATCTTTATATTTTTGGAGGTGATCCAAGTTAATTTGTTTCAATAAATAATAATGGGTGAAGTCTCTTTATTTGTTAAATTAGAGAGATATATCTATTTATCGATATTGCCTCGATATTTTATGAGAAATTTAAGTGAGATAAATCGATATTATTATTGATATATCGAAAGAATTGCTGTTTGTAAGAAGATTCTCCAAAATGTTGTTTTTTTTTTTTTTAATGTTTAAAATATTTTAAATGTTTTTTAAATATAATTTTTCGGTTTATTCAGATAAAATGGGTATTTTAATCTTAATTCGAAATATTTTTCGATATAATTTTCAATTCATACGTCGATATATAACTTTATAATCTCAATATGTGCTCATCCCCACTTCTTGTGTTAGTTTTCAGCGAACCCCTTCCAAAAGTCTAAAAAGAAATCCCTGAAACTGATATTTCCGGAAGTGCAAGGCCATAAAGAACCCATGTCATGGTCAGCGGAAAAGTGCATGTAATTGATTCTGTGGAATTTGCTCACTATTTAACACTCTTAGCCATTTCCATGGAATTGAAAGAAGTGAAATAGCCGTTACTTTTGGGATTCAGAAAAAGTCTCCAGGAGGCTTCGTGTTGTCGGCAAGGATTTGAATGAAACGGCGGTTACAAGGTCCTGCCCGCCATGGCCATGCCCATGTCCACCCGCCCGACGACAACGACAACGACGACGACAACGACAACGACGATGACGACGACCTTGTGGAGACTTGCTTCCAGCGCACGCGCTCCTTGCCCCTCCAACTCGAAATCTCTGCCAGCGTTGTTTGCATTTCCAACAGGTAGCGACGCCGGCGTCGCTGTCCATGCAACAGTGGCCGCCGTATCATAATGAGCCAAGGACGTTGATGGGGCCTAGGGGGGGCGGTGGCCATTGGGTGGCAAGTGGGCGGTGACACACACGCATCAATGGCAATGACAGTGTAGCATCTTCAATAGCGGCAACGACGACTCCTCCGCGGGATCCAGCGCTGGACAGGATTCACGCTGTGACTTTCCGTGCGATTTAACATCATTTGCTTGCTGATGCCGCCTCCACCCACCACCCCCTGAAATACCCATCCTTTTTGAGGGGAAAAAAACTATACAAGAACAAGCAAAGAGCAGAAAACTTCGAACCTGAAAAGGTGTCCCATGTTTGTCCATTTACAAAGGGGAAAAGTTTTTCCAGGGAGGAAAACAGGGGGGGGAAAGTTGCGAAATACAATTGCCTGGGACAAGTCTAGATAATTGCAAATAGATTGATCAATTAGGCTAGGCTTTAAAGTTTTATTGAGTCGGGAAAACTAAGCATTAGGGCTTTTAGTTATTCAAAGGAAATGTCAAGGGGGCTTGAGCTTGAACTTATTGTATATTATTTAATACTTTTTACAAGTAAAATTTAAATTAAAATTCATTGAAAATAAATATTTTGTATACTAACATTTGTCCAGGTCCCTCCTCTGATTGATTAATCCCTTTGGGAAAATTTTTTTTGTGTTATTTTCATTTTAAAAATTTGAAATTTAATTTATTTTGAATTTTAAATATTTAATTAATAAATATATTATTATTTAAATAAATTATAAAACCCTCTGCAAGTGGATATATATATACAAATATATATATAAAAAAAAAGAAGGTGGAGAAAGATACAAATTCTCGCCTCCTTTTTTTCATTACTCCCCTCTTCACCCTCCCCCAACTTTCGATTCGATTCCCAGGCCTTGGTAAACATTTCGTTTTTTTTTTTTTGGTTTTACAAAAATCCAAAACTTTGAGCTCTCTCCATTTTCAGGTGGTGGGTGGGTTGTGGGTGGCGGGGTAGCTTGCTGCTCCCGTGGCACCTGCCACTTGAAAATTCCACACGGCTTCTGTTACATTTTGATTTATTTGCTGAAATTTATTGTTAAAGTGAATGGAGGCGCAAACTTGGCGAGCATCCGAAGGGGTGCTTGGATGCTGCGGCGCCCAGTGGGTGGCTGGGAGGAGTATAACAGGTGGCAAAGTGTAGGTGAAGGCCGCCGTCGCGCCACAGTTGCCCCATAAAATATATCTGCTGGCCCTGGCATTCTTTTTCTTTTTTTCAGCCAGCCACGACTTCCTATATAGTAGCTCCGAACACTGGCTTGTCGCCGCCATCAATCGAGAATCCGAGACCCGGACGGATTCTCAATCAGAATCAGTTCCAGCCACGTACACGGACACGTACGCGTATCCCCATACTTGAGACCATACTCGTACTCCTTCCCCGTATTAGGCACTAACCACATTCGGAACTGGGAGCCCATTGTGTGAGTCCATCCGTTCGTCCGTCCTTCCTGATTCTCAGGCATACACATGGGGAAAAATTGGGACTTTCATACTTCAAGTCGGAAAGTAACCAAAAAAGCTTGCCAATTATCAATTTATTCGATTTTAAATCGATAAAAATCTTAAAGACTTTTAAATAGATTTTTATTTCCTTATTTTAAATCGATATAACTGGGTAAACTTCCAACACAAATTTATTTTCAGACTTCAAGTCACAATCTAATGAAGAAATTTAGGTGTTTACAATTTTAAATCGATTAAAACCCCGATATCTTTTGAAGGCAATGATAAATATCGATTTAAAATCAATAGAACTAGAAATAATTTAATCTATAATCTGAATTCATATTAAACTAATATAAATTTATATATATTTATCTTGATTTTGTATATATAAACTATATATTATAAAATTTTAAATATATACATAATAATACTTTAAAAAAATATAAATAAATATTTAACAATATTTTGTGACTGTGCATTGTTCCCCTTGGCCTCATCTTCTTCCCCTTTTGTTGCAGTCACTTCCCCGGGGTCTGAGGCAGAACTGATTGAATTGAATATCAGTTTTCAGCTCTCTGCACCACGCCCCTTTTGCCATCCTACTTACGCCCAACAAGAACAAAAAAAATATACGAAAAAAAAGAAACGAAACGAAACGAAACGAAAGAAGGAAAACCCCCCAAGGTTCCTTCATCGTTCTGGTTTGCCATTTGAATTTGAATGGAAATGATTTCACTTGATTTTCATATTTTTATTATGTTCCCCTTCGGGCTCACACTCACCTGTGTGTTTGTGTGTTTGTGTGTGTGTGATGGGTGTGTGTGTGCCGTCTACCTCTCTCCCTCTTTCTGCCATTCTCACCCTGCAGCCATTTCTTCTCTTTCTCTTTCGGGGCCCCGGCGCCTTTTTGACTTTATTAAAATGTATTGTAAACACGGCCAAGGGAGGATGCCCGCAGGAGGAGGACGATGTGGGGGAGTGGCAGCAGGAGTGGGAGGTGCCCCACCCATCACCAGGCTTATATTTACCTGGCTGGCCGCAAGTTTTGGTCGCCTGCAGAATGCAATTCCCTAATTGTTTGCAGATAACGCCAGGAATTTGTGGCATTTGGGTATTTGGAATAGATTTATCCTTGGTCAATTTGAAGATACAAACATTTATTTAATATTGAAATTTCACATTTAATACTTAATATTAATATTTAATAAATGTAAATGATCATTTCAAACTAAGTCAAGGTCCAGCCAAATTATTTTCATTTTTTTATTAATTTAAAACAAAACTGCAAGCTTGATTTTAGTTTAAGCTTTCTTTTTTATATTTTTATATTTTTTAAATGTTAAAAGTTAATGTATATAAACAATTAATTGTACTTATTATTATTTTACTAATCAAGAACTTAACTAAATTAATCATAACTTTTAAGCAAGTTCTGCCAGCAAAGTCTCTTCGCTCTTTAAACATTAGTATTCAGCGCTTTAAAACCTAATTTACACTAGAATTAGCATAAACATAAGCAGCTTAAATTATGTAAGCGATTATTGTGCAACATAATTGTTGGCATTACCCATTAAGCCGGCAAGAAGGTCTCCTTATTATTCGCAGAACTCCTTTTGTTCGGCGAGAGCTCCTTCCATTGATTTTGGAGCAACAATTTTGGCCACTTGTCCACGCAGCCACCCTGCCCAGGTATATATGTATACACCCTATGTAATATATATATATACTATATATATATGTATTTGTGTTTATATGCAGATGTATAATTCAACAGGAGTTGGGTAGGCTTGGGCCCGAAACAAAAATATAAATAAGAAAGAATATGATTACGTATACGCAACGTGGAACTTCTTTAACTTCAAGTGCGTGTGTGCTGTGTGCTGTGTGGGTGTGTGTGTGCCTGGTCATTACGCACGTAGCATTTGTATGAATGGAGCCACCCCCGTCCAGTTTTCTTTATTTTTTTCCTTGCCGCATCGCTGAGCACATAAAAATAAATCAAGTTTTTCTTCATTTCCTTTGCTGCTCGTCGACTTTTCCTTTCTTTTTTTCTCTTTTATTTTTTGATATATTTTTGTGTTGCCTTTTTTTAAGATTTTAACTTTTTGTAGCATACTTAGACGGGGAGGGGAGGGGAGGCCGCACAGGTGGCGGAAAAGCTGACCGCCTGCCTTCTTAACGCGTTTTTTATGCTAAACCAAATGAAGTCAAGCAGTTAAAAGCCACAAACTAACAGCTAAAACAGGTAACAAAAGTCAGCAGGCAACAGGAGCAATCAGCAGCAGGCAACACATGGCAATAAAAGCTATGGACGAACTAATGTCTGAACAAGTTAATAATAAAATAAATAATAAAATGTAGCAGGCAAGGGCAACGGGCAGACGGCAGACGGGGATAACCAAGCAACAGGCGAAGCTTTAAAAAAAAAATGAACTGCAAAAAAAAAATATTTACAAAGTGCAGAAATAAATAGAAAATACTAAAAACAATCTGAAATATTTTATAGAATTTTTTAAAGAACTTCTAAGACTTTACTTAAATGGATTTTAAATCGAAATTATTTATATTTTTTAGTAAATTATACTTGTTTTTGTCCAGTGCTTTTGTAAAAAAACGTTAATATCAATATCATTGACAAAAAAATAGAATAATAAAGACACCAAAGAGTACACCAATTACATATAGTCGCAACAGC